ACTTGCGACCAGCTGCGCTGCGTGCATAGGTGACATCTTTGTCACTGATCAAGTCCAAGTGAGACTCTTCAGCATTCTTTGTGGACTGGTCACCTTTACCCTTCTTGCCCTGCAACTTTTTCTTGGCAAACTTGTTACCAGGCACAGTCTTCTTCACCTCCACGGGCTTTGAAGTGGTGGATGCCAGGCGCAAGTCTGTGGCCATCCCACCTTGCCCCCGTCTCATCGTTGGACCAACTGCCCATGTCTGGATGCTTTCGCATCTGCTCAATGCATCTGCACTGACCTCGCTGAGGCGAACCTTCATCTTGCCAGAGTTTACAGATGGCTGAACACCTTAGCATGGCTCAGCAAGGCACTATTGGAAGGACAAGCTCTGAACCTACAGCGGTTAATTTTGTTTACATCTTTACTTCATAAGACTGAAGCAATGGCAGAACGCTCACAAAGATCACACACAATGAGGTGTGAACTGCAAAAAATACGGCAAACGAAGCACTTTCTTCAACGTCCAAGATTGTGATGAGACCTTCCAGGCGCACCACCCAGGCAGCTGAATGCCAATCTGCCTCCCACTCCTTGCCCAAGTCGTCTGATGGGCTAAGCTGCACTGCCCTGAAGGCCACACAAGACTGCACAGGCACTTCTCCTGCGTGAGGCTTGGGGCTTTTCAGCCCCTTCCAAACAGTCATCAGGAGGCCGACTTCAATCTGGCTATTCTTCACGGGAGTCTGGAAGAGGACCACGTTGCCAGGCCTTGACCGGTCAACAAAATGCAAGCAGAACAACAGGTCCTTACACAATGCAACAATCAGCCTTCAACAAACTGGTTCCATGCAAACTGCTACTTCTTGTAAGACAGGACCTGTGGCTTACAAAATGTAACAACCAAACATGTTGCTTACAAAATGCAACACGCTGTTTCAAAACACCACTGGTTGGAACAAGTCAAGCGACATTAATCGCTTTGGGGGATCCAACGGCATTTCCAGATCCTGTTGAGCACGTTTCACCAATTCCATCCATTTTTGAATCCTGGAAGTTCGGGAGTGGTAGATTGGATTCTCCTTCTCCTGTTCCATTTCCGCGAGCTTCATTTCATTGCAGCTTGAGAAAAAGACCTCACGCGTAAAGATATATATTTACATATATTTACTACATTTATTTTTAATAGATGGTGTTGTATTTTTACATATGTTCATTTTGTAGCGCTCCCCTGTTCGGATTCTGAAATCTTGCCAGAAGAGCTTGTTGAGCTTTATGAGAAAAACTGTTTGTGAAAAGAAAAACACCCATGAACTCTGTAAGCCATGAAACTGATGCCAGTTCAGGTTTCTGGAGCGAGAACGGCATGCCTTGGCATTCCTAATGAGGAAGGTGTCAGCCCCTCCAGGGGCTGATCGTAGCCATACCGCGAGCCTGAACAAGTTGTTAATCAGGTCCCCTTCCATCTGGACACACTCCAGGAGGCTAGTGGGGAGATGATTCTTGTCAAGGTCCTTGTGGATCTTTTTCTTGGGGCTTTCCACTCGGAAGGGCTCTTTGGGCTCGGTGTTGGACAGCAACATCTCCAAAACATCCCGGTCTGGTACATCCAAATGGCTGTCCTGAATCTCACCCTCATCGAAAACCCTCTGATCCTGCTCTGTTGCTGCATCACCTGCCTCACCGTCTTCGTTCCCCAAAACCAGATTGGTCTCGGCCCGAACCTGTTCCAACAGCTCCATGCATGTTGGCTCTGGAGCCAAATCGAGTTCGCACTGTTCCTCCGGGGTGGATTGCTGAGAAGAAGCCATCCTCGTTGCAAACCTGCCGGTATTTAGTCTCCAAAGTCCCCACACTGATATCGCTCAGCTTCGACACAAGCGCCAAGGATGCCTGCAAGGCATTCTGGCAACATTCCTGAAACCTCGGTTTCAAGGGGCTCATGAGGTCAACAAAATGCAGTTTCAACGTTAACAAGCACAGAAATACAAAAAAAAAGGCTACAAGTCTTGGAAACTAGGAAATGCATCCTGAACATGCATTCTGTAGTGGGGATCTTTTTGATAAACCTAGCACTATTGGTGGGGACCAGGGTGTTTGTTTGCTTGCGTGCCATAGGAAACTCACCCCATAGTACAGGCTAGCGACCACTAAATATACCAATGGTAAGGTACCACATGTCATGCGACACCGCAAGAAGTATTCTTTTTGATCCCCCTGTAAATTTATAGGGGCGTCTTGAGACACCCTCATTTAGTAGTACAAAACCAGGGGTCCAAGATAAATCTTTACAAATTGCAAACAGACACCATTATCTTCGCTACAAAATTCAACTCCAGGTAGGTGCGCGCTACAAGATACACGGGGATTCTTTTTGTAGATAGTATTGGATGGATTTGGATGGTGCTATCAACAGTTGTCTCCAAAGCATTTAACTGAAATGTCCGGCGATAGGCTCAAGCTCGGTCAAGCGTGACTGCCCGTTCTGCGCCTCAGGCTTGCGCTTGGTCTTGTTGAGTGCATGGTTGCTGCGCATTGCCTGCAGGGCCGAAGCATAGAAATATCCTCTGGTGGAGAGTTGTGAGTTGGAGCTCCTGGATCTCAACATTCCGAAGTACTCTTCCACTGAGATCTCTGAAAGTCTGCAATGGCCAAAAGACCAGGGTTCGAAGCCAGTGTCCTTTGTGGCACAAATCACGACCGTTGCCAATGCAGTTCCTTGCAAATTGTGCACCGTCTGGGGCGCTAGGAAGCAGCTGCCCTTTGGCAATTTCATCTTCACGCAGGTCTGGTGCGCGCACATCTGGAAAAGGTCGAGGCAAAGGAACCCGGCCAATGCCGCGCTGCACCGCTCCTTCAGCGTCATCCGCTTATGCAGCGCTGGCGCCACACAAAGGGCCACCACAACGTTGTGGACACAAAAGCCAGCCAAACTCCATGGAACCACCATATCTTCCATGGCAACATCTGCGTCCACCACGAGGTAGAAAGGGTTGCATAGCAAGGCGTTCAATTTGTCCGACATAGCATTGACCCTGGCATACGCCACAGGCGGGAGCCCGTGGGATCTTGCCTGCGTGGTATCCGTCCACAGCTTTCCCCACTGGATGGTGCGCAAGAAGCTAGGCGTTCTTGTTGCTGTGACCTCGGTCAACAAAATGAAAAAGTCTCCAAAATACAGCCTCAAGAATGATGGGTCGATGCATTTTGTAAGAGCCAAACATGTCTATCTTGTATAATGAGATAGATCCTAGGTCCGTTGTGGAAATTTCAAAGAGGACGCATGTCAAAGAACACAAAAGGATGTGAAAGGTAAAAAACTCCTTCAAGGTGCAAGGCACGCACATCGCGTAGAAGGCTTCGCCCTTGTAAAGGCATATGGAGATTGGAAGGCGAGGCAAGCAGTTCGACGGTAGAGAAATGTGTTGGAGGTCCCTGAAAAACGGAATGTCCTTGAGAGATTCATCTGGAACATCTTCGAAAAGGCCATGAATGATGTTCCGCACAAACACATGACTCCCATGGGCGTCAAACACAATGCCACGCACCACTTTTTGACTGGAACTGAGAACTTGTCCAACAAGTTCCAGGATCCCCCACTGAGCTCGATTCTGGCCTCCAAAGTTCTGTTCCACTGGGACGGCACACACTGAAAGTGGGATCTTCTTTCTGGCTGAGGGGTCCCAGCACAAAAACTCCATCATAGTGTTTGCCCGTGGCACACCAGATACATCCACCCCATCCTCCTCCAAACTGACGAACGCATTCTCCTTATTCTCACTGCTCCATTTTCCTCCAACCAGGCCGTGGCGCTCGTGAATCTGAATTTGCGACAAAGTCGGGGTGAGGTATGTTCCATCGAAGGCCATCCATAGACGACCTGTTCTTCAAAGACATGAGGCTAATGTTTGGGCTGAATTGAGCGACAGAAAGTCCAATCAATTACAAACCAAATGACAAAATACAAAAACTTAGTACAAAATAGAAATGTTGACAACAACTTGAAGTAGCAAAGTAACACTGATTCTGCCCCTCCGACAATGGATGCCGCTGGTTCAAAAGGTTCCAGTTCTCGGAAAGCACCTCTGGCCAGTCTACTGCCAAAGCTCGGTGAGGAAGGCTTTCTGCAAGAAGGCTTTCCAAAGTCACTTTGCATTCTCTCACAGAAATTCCAAACCTGACGAGAGAATGACGAATTCTAAACCTGCAAAAAAACATTAGGCGATCAACTAAATGCAAAAGAAGGGAAAGGCCTTACAAAATGCACAAAACAATGAGCACATCTCAGAAACATCTTCACGAGGGAGCTGATTCCTGAAGAAGTTGCCAAGGTCAAACCAGCGTCTGTGATCAACTTCTTCTCCAGCGGACTCTCCATGAATCTTCGTCCCCTCATATTCAAAATGCCTCGATTGTGCTTGTCGGCCATTCTGAGACTCTGGAGCGCTATGCCGTGCAAAAGGGGATGGTGCTGCAGGCGGCCTTGCAAAACACCTGCTGCTACGCGCATGTTGGCTTTATCAGTCTCCGATGTTTCTTTGTTGTGCATCCAAACCGCAAAGCGGGAAATCACATCGGCAAAGCAGTCTGGCATGTTGGTCACAGTAAGACTGAGAGCTGGCTTCACCACACAAGCCATGAAATTTGCTTCATTCTCCCCGATCCATTCCTTTGGTGTCTTCAACCAGGGATTTCTGACAAATTGTTGCAAGTCGGCATTTGACAGCCGCATGATGCTCTCTGCTCGTGCGGGATCAGAGCTGAAGATCCGGGATTCCCGAATCTCTTGTTCCACCTCTTTCACGCCGTCGGTTCCTTGAAAGAGCCGGGCTCCCAGCAGCTTGGCAAAGAGAAACTTTGTTGCAAACTTGGCAACAACCTTGGGGACCGCATGTGGAGAGCTCAACTGCTTGCACTCCTCCGACGGTGGCGCTACTAAATTCAAAGCGGGAGACACACAAACACAGGCAGCGACAAGAGAACCAAAGATATCAAAGCTTAAGAAAAAATAGAAGCTTAAAAAAAAGAGGAAGTGCGCAGAAGTACGGACAGGATAGAAGTACGGACAGGATAGAAGTACGGACAGGGCTGACGTGATCCCTGGATGTACCCACTACAAAATGCAACCCTGTCCTGGCACATGCTTCTAATGCTTGAAGGCATCGCTGGGCATTGTTTGAGACATTTCTGATGGCGGATGAACCATCCACCAGCGTTGGGCTCCTGCCAGTAGATGTGCTTGGCAAACATCTTCAAGTTTGACATGGAAACCCACGTCTCGAATTCACGTCTGTATTCGAAGAGAAGTCCAGCTGATAGCCTGTCATTGACCATCATTCCCTCACATGGTACATAGTTGTCCTTCGACTCCCCTTGCAACTTGATGACATTTTGTCTGTGAGTAGCAGAGTTGAGATGCTTGTGCAAAAAGTACTTCACACTCTTGCTTTTGGCAGCGTGTAACTCAGCAACGCGGCCGTGTGGCTGTGTTCCCGAGCGGCACAGCAGGCACCGAAATGGAAATCTCTTTCCCATGGTACCAGGTGGCAGAAGTTCCACCACACCCTGATGCTTCTTTACCTCATCAAATGGATCATCATCCTGTTCTGCTTCTCGCTCTTCACCATCCTCAATTGGATCTTTCTTGTCTTCTGAGCCCTGTTGATCTGGCAAGGTAGCAAAGACATCCTCTCCAGCCAGGCCCTTCTGGATGGCATCGGCAAGCAAGTCCGCATTGAACCCGAAGTGGGAAAGCAAGGCGGCACAAGATTCACAGGACACATCCTTCTGAGTCACCAACAGCTGTTGTAGGCTCACAAAGCCACCACTCTTGCGCACGCAGACCTTTCTCATTGTTCCACGCCTGCAAAGATTGCCAAGGTCATTTCGAAGAAAAAAGAGTCAAAAAAAATCAAAAAACATGTTTCCCTACAAAATGATCTGCCAGAATCCCAAACGGCTCCCCTACAACATGCTCTGCCACAATCCCAAACGGCTCCCCTACAAAATGCTCTGCCACAATCCCAAACGGCTCGCCTTGCATGGAACCTTTGGAACACTGGGTACGCGATGCCAATTGACGAAAGGTAGCCCTTGACAGCCTTGGACTTCACAGTGTGCTCACTCGGCTGAAGGCTCTTGCAAAGCCGCATGTGTGATTTCCTTCGAATTTGCCCTGGAACCAGGTCAACATCAGCATCTTCATCTGGCAGCAGCTGCAAATCTTCATCAGCCTGTTGAGTTCTCTGCGCCTCCTCATCCAGTTCAGCGCCATTCAGCACTACAGGCTGACCTGCCCTGGCCATGACAACAGGACCACGTTTCTTGGGTTTTCCAAAATCAGCTGGTCGGCAAAGCCCCTGAGCAGCTACTGGGCCCTTGACTGCGGGTACTTTTTCAGGTGTTGGATCCATGGTTTTCTCCTTTGACTGGGTGCGCTTGACTTCTTTGGCAGGAGTGGTCGGCTTGAAGGGATCGTCGTCATCACGATGGAAGGTAATAAACATGCATTGATAAATAGCCACTCCGGAAGCTGCGCGCCAAGAATCTGACAATTCCTCGGCTGTGAAACTTGTAGCTGTGAAAAAAAGTCTCTACAAAATTAAACACCCGAACGCAAGCCCATTCTAATCGAATCAAAAACATCCAGCAATGACAAGGTTCTTGTCGCAATGCATGTGATTGTTCCAGAGAGTGATGAGTCTCGCCCAAGCACTTTGGATGGCCTTCGAGTAGCTGCAGTATTGTCCACAATCCACAATTCCCATCCGCGAGTACATTCTCTGGAAAGACATCCAACTTCAGACACTCCTGAATTGCAAGCTGTTCGGCCTTGATCAAGCGGTCTTCCAACAGAAGCTGGCGAAACATGACCTCAAATGTAGGGTCTTCTGGGTCTGCTTCCTCCGTGAGATCTGTGAGCTTTTGCTTTCTCAATGCTTGGCGTTTTTCCAAGGCGGAAGAATTTGCTGCACAAGCCTTGTCCCACATCTCTTCTCCAAGCTGTGACTTGTGCCAACCTGGCATGAAGTGGTTCAATGAAAGAAAGTCCACACGCTGGAAGTCAGCTCTGCAGCATATCACAAACCAAGTGTTCTTGTCGGAGACAGAAGGATCTGCAGTAAAATCCGAAAACTTCACTTCC